AATATTTGGGAATATCTGGAATATATTCCTGTTCTCACAAATGGGATTGGGAGACTGCTACTGGGTTAAGGCCAGGGATCCTGCTAAACAGCCTGGAGAACATAGGATGTGCTCCCGGCTCCATGCCGCTCCAACACACAGAGAATTCCCTGGCCCCACCGAGCATGCGTGCTAGCAAGCTTGGGCAGTTGTTTAAGATAGGAAAGAAGCAGTATCTCCTCTAGATATAATGTCTGCGCGATTTTAACCTTTGGATCTCTACCTTGTTTAAACTTTGTGGATTACTTATTGAACAGCTAATTACCAAGCACACCACGTGTATTATTTAATACTGAGAGGTCTTAAACATTCATACACCATGTTGTAAATAGATTAAGTAACCAACACCATGGAGCTGGTAACAAAGACGGGGATTTGAATTGCTGTCTAACTTGAAAACCTGCTCTGGGCCCGGTGCGATAGGCTAGTGGTTAAATCCTCACCTCACATCCTTTAGGATCCCATGTGGGCACCAGTTCGTATCTTGGCTGTTTCACTTCCCATCCAGCTCCCTGCTTGTGGCCTGGGAAAGCAGTGGAGGACGGCCCAAAGCCTTGGGACCCTGCACCCGCATGGGAGACCCGGAAGAGGCTCCTAGTTTCGGATCAGCTCAGCTCCAGCCGTGACGGCCTCTTGGGGCATAAACCAGCACGTGGAAGATCTTTCTCTCTGTCTCCTTCTCTCTGTGTGTACCTGCCTTTCCAATGAAGAAATAAAAATAAGTCTTACCAAAAAAACCTTATCTGTGTTATTAGTTATACGTGTAATAGTGCCTGCCATCTTTATTATAGGAATCTGACTTTTAAAAACGGTTGCTTTATCTTATCTTGAGAATGTTTAATTAAAGGAACAAAGGGAAAGGTCAGTCATGGCGCTTTTTCCCTATGGATTTCCAAATGGATGTTCCACCATTGTGCCAACTTACAGCCCTATCGTTAGAAGGAGAGAAACAACGCTACGTATTCCGTGTTTCACTTAATGATGGTTGAGAACAAAATTGCTGGGACCAGCCCTGTGCTATGGGCTTAGGCAATGCCTCCATCTGTATCTGAATGCCCCTGTGAATCCCAGGGTCTACTCCTGGGAAAGCAGCAGGTGATGGCCCCCGAGCTTGGGCCCCTGCCACCCATGCAGGACACCCAGATGGCGTTCCAGGCACCAGGATGCCCCTGCCTCAACCACTGCAGCCATTGGCGCAGTGAGCCAGCAGGTGGAAGATGCCTCTTTCACTCTTCACTGCTTGTTCCTTTCAAACAAATACTTTCTTTTTACATTTTTACTTTTTTTTTTTTTAATTGGAAAGTCAGATCTACAGAGAGGAAGATCTTCCACCTAGCGGCCACAACGGCTGGAGTTGAGCCAATCCAAAGCCAAGAGCCCAGAGCTTCTTCTGGATCTCCCACACGGTTGCAGGGTCCCAAGGCTTCGGGCTGACTGATTTCCCAGGCCAGAAGGAGGGAGCTGGATGGGAAGTGGAGCTGCCGGAAGATTAGAACCAGCACCCACATGGGATTCAAGGAAGGGCTTGAGCCACTAGGCTACCACACCAGGCCCAATAAGTAATTTTTTAAAAAATCTTGTTATCAGAGCTTACATCATAAACAATTGCTGGAACTTGTTACCACATTCAGACCTCCCAAAGTAAAACCGAATCAGTAAGAGCCATAAGGAGGAAGCTAAGAGAATTTAAATACAGCTTGCATTTCATGTTCATTTATTTAACAAATTGACTTACGTGTTTCATAAAAGCTGAGCTCCAAGGCAAACATTCCTGGTTGCTGTGTAAACTTTATCTCAAATGTTTTGCTTACATAAACCTAGGAAGAGCAAATGAGGGAATCGGGTTTTGTAGTTTTAAAATGTTTTCTCTGATAATATTGGCAGCTTCTTTTTTTTTAAACCTCATTTTTGGAATGATGAAAAATGGGCTCTCGGAGGATCCCTGTGACCTGAGGGTAACTCACATATCCCATGGCCCCCCGACAGCCCTGAGAGGCAGCGCAGCAATAGCTAGAATCAGAAGTGGTATTTTTCAAATAGCAAATGTGCGCCATTAGCAGGAACAGGAATCACTTTAATCCTTTTCACAAAAATGTATTACTGTCATTCATTGGAAGGACAGAGAGACAAAGACCTTTTATGTGTGAGTTCACTCCCCAAACGCCCACAACAGTCTGCAACTCACTCCAGGATCTCTGGGGAAGTGGCAGGGGCCTGAGAACCCGAGCCGTCATTCACTGCTGCCTGTCACGTGCAGTAGCTGGAAGCGGAAATCAGAGAGGCAGAGCTGGGACGCAAGCAGGCATTCCAATGGAGAACGCAGAGACCCCCCCCAAGGAGGGCCTCTCCCCCGCCCCCGCCCCGGGCCAAACACCTGTCACACTTCAGACCTGAGACCCCCCCAAGGAGGGCCTCCCCCCCAAACACCTGTCACACTCCAGACCCGAGACCCCCCAAGGAGGGCCTCCCCCCAAACACCTGTCACACTTCAGACCCGAGACCCCCCAAGGAGGGCCTTTCCCCTGGCCCAAACACCTGTCACACTTCATACACAGCTTGTCACTAAACTCTTAAAAATAAAACTGGACTTAGAAAACTGAAAACAAGGGGGCTGTTTCTTCCTAGCGGGCTGCTGTGTAAATGGAAGACCACTAATGTAATCTACCTACTTGGTTTGAGAGATGAGGTTGGGACGTGTTTAATGACACCCAGGGGTACCCAGCTGATTTCCTGAGGCAAAGCTGGGGTCAGAACAAAGTTCCTCGATGCCTAAGCCAGTGTGTGTCCCGTCAGGGTGCTGGGCCGCAGCTGGGCTTGAGAGTGTTGGCGTGGGTGACTGGGATACAGACTCGCGTCTTCCGGTGAGGGAAGACTTTCAGTCATGTGACAGGGTACCAGTGGATAGATGACGAGGTTTCATGAGGTCGCACATCCAGCGGAAGGGCTCAGCGTCTCTTTGGAGGGATTGGAGACCGTGCGAGCAGTCCGGAGGCAGGCTGGGGTTTGTGTAGGTATGGTGGCCACTTCTCCCCACTGTTTCTGCCCCCCCTGCCCTCTTCTCCCAGACAAAGGGTTCTCCTACCCAGTGGTGTCAGCCTGGGTAGCCGGCCTCGGGCTGGGGCTTCTTTCCATAAAGTCAGCACGTTGTAGCGTCAAGTACCGGCAGCGTCCAAGGAGGGCTTGCTGCTACATTCCATTCCGCAGGTGCTTGCTTCTCCCTAGGCACCTTTCGAACACAAGGGCTAATTTCTAACCAACATTAGAAGCAGAGTTTTCCTTTGCGTTGCATGGTCTTCCCAGAAACAGCGGTTCCCCTTTGCCCATCCATACCTCACCTCGGTTCACATACCCAAAATCAACTCCAAAATCTGAAAATATTAAAGGGAAAATTGCAGAAATAAGCACTTCCTACGTTTTCCATTGCACAACCTGCTGAGTAGCCCAATCGCATCTTGCAGCTGTGGTGCTCCATCCCTTGGGATATCTGCGTGTATATACTACCCTCACGTTAGGCACTTAGTAGTGACTTTGATTATCAGGTTGAGTGTCATGGTGTCTCAGTGTATGTGTTCAGGTCATCCGTGTCACAGTTAATAATGGCCCCAAAGCACAGGGTCAGTGATGTTGGCAATTGAAAGATGCCAAGGAGAAGCTGTAAGGAGATGTCTTTAGGTGAAGAAATGAAAAGACACAGGGTGTTTTGAGAGACAGACCACATTCACCTAACTTATTAATGTTATTGGAAAAGTAGATCAGATTTATGGAGAGAAGGAGAGACAGAGAAAGATGTTCTGTCCACTGGTTCTTTTCCCAAGTAGCTTCCATGGCTGGAGCTCAGGAGCCAGGGGTTTCTTCTGGGTCTCCCACGCAGATGCATGGCTTTAGGTCATCCCCTACTGCTTTCACAAGCCACAAGCATGGAGCTGGAGTAGAAGTGGAGCAGTTGGGACATGAACTGGCATCCAGATGGGATCCCAGCACTTGTAAGGCGAGGATTTAGCTGCTGAATCATCACGCCAGACCCTCCCATAAGTTTTATCACTATACATTATCAGAATCGTCCTAGTTCATTGTTATTTACTGTTGTTCAACTCTTGCTGTGTCTAATTTGTAAATTAAACTTTATCATAGGTTTGCTCAATAGGAAAAATATAGCAGGCATGAGGCTGAGTACTCTGCAGTTTCATCCATCCCTTGGGAAGGCCTTAGAATGTGTCCCCCATAGCTCAGCAGGGGCTGCCATGCTCCTTTTCCAGTCGTGATTAGTATATTCTTATCTTGGGGTATAATTCCCCTGGGTGGTTAAATCAACGCTTTCAATCTTTGTGATGCTTCAAAATGGGTTGAGCTGATGAGAGCTAGCTCAGTGTTTCTCAGACGCAGTGCTTTGTCTGTTCACAGGCCTTGGACAATGCTGGCAGATACTTTGGTTGTCATGCCGGGAAGAAGGCGCTCCTAGCAGGTGGGGGGTAGAGGCTAGGGTTGCTGCCAAACCTTGTACCAGGCCCCCAGATCCAAGGATTAGCCAGCCCAAAGCATCCAGAGCACCGAAGCATCCCACCCTCGCTGACCCAAGACAACAGCTGGATCAGAAGCTGCAGAGTTGGGGCTTGGACCGGTGGTCCAGATTGGGATGTAGGCAATCCAATCAGTTTTACCTGCTTGCAATGCCGCCTATCCCTGCCACCAACTTTTGAAGTCCCTTGTACTAAGAACTAACTACTGATCAGATACTAGCCTACTGATTGGAATTGTGATCACATATTACTTGACCTAGATCTTTTTATGCTAATTAAATAATGGGTCAGCCACTCGTTATTTCAATCAGATTAACTGGAAGAAACAAACCATGTGTGGTCTTTGTAAATGTGACAGGAAGTCGTTAGCACTGGAGGCCGCCCTGGTGGAGCTGGGGCCCTTCCCCCTGCGCTTCTCATCTCTGTGTTTCTTCTTTGTTTCAGATGTCCCTGGCTCCATGCCCAACGCCTCGTGGACCGGGAACCTCAGGGCGGTGAAGTGGAATGACATGGAGGATCAGCACGGAGGCTGTCATGGTGAGGTTTGGTTACATGCTTTTAGGCCAGGCTGCTTGTCGCTGATGGCATCCGTGCAGTCGTGGCCCATGCAGGTTCTCCCAGATGCAGAACTGCTGATCTGTTTAGACCAACCTGCTGCTTGCTAAGGAGGGCAGGCAGACTTACCAAAGGTCTCCCCCTTGTCTCCCCAGCAGTCACCAAGGGAGATGTCGAAGTCCAAATTGTAACTATACTCTCTTCTTGCTGGTTTCTGCGCCCGCTCACTCTCAGAAAAGAGACAAAAGCTTCCATTGGCGGGGCCACATGGCCACAATCCCTGCGATGGGGTGGGGAGACGATGCCCTGGAGCTGGGACCTTAGTCCGGATTTGCCATGTGGGTAGCCAGGATCCAGTAACTGGAGTCATCACCCGCTCCTCCCATGGTCCACATCGGTAGGAAGCTGGGCTTGGCTCCAGCCGTTACCGCTACCTAGGAAATGGACCAGCAGGTGGAAAAGATCTTTGTCTTTGTCTCCCCTCACCATCAATTTGATCTGCCTTTCCAATAAGAATAAATCAATCTCTTTTTTTAATCTAGTTTAAAACAAAATAGAAGAGCTGGAATCAGGTTCAGGATGAGACATGACGTGTTGAGCAGCACCCTAAGCACAAGGCCCCCCGCTCCCCACCACTAGTTCCAGCTTTCTCAGCATCTCTTCCTCCTGCTGGCTATTAAAGAAAAAGATGGTGTGCTTCCACTATGGAGCAGCACCCATCAGCTCCCCCAAAGGTGGCTGGTGAGAGAAGGTTATTCTGCAAGAGGACGTGATCCAGAAGCCATGAAGTCATTTCCACTTCTCCAGAACCTCAGGGAGCTGTGACGTAACATCCGCTCCACACCGAGCACTGCCCAGCACTCAGCAGGCAGCCAGGTGATGAGTCCCTACAGCTAGGACAAGCAAGCAGCACAGACAGGGCGGCTCAAAACGGCTCTGCCAGTTCTGGAGGCTGGGAATCCAAGGTCAAGGTGTCAGCCGCACAAAGTCCTTCTGAGGACGCTCCCTTGGGTTGCAAGTGACTGCCTTGTCATGGTCTTCTGCATATGGCCAATCACTCAGCTTAGTTTCTAACTGGATTATCTTTTAAAGATCCTCTCTCCCTTTTGAAGTACCAATGTTAGGATTTTTTTTTAAAGATTTACTATTTTTTTTTTTAATTGAAAAGTCAGATATACAGAGAGGAGGAGAGACAGAGAGGAAGATCTTCTATCTGATGATTCACTCCCCAAGTGAGCGCAACAGCCAGAGCTGTGACTATCTGAAGCCAGGAGCCTGGAACCTCCTCCAGGTCTCCCACACGCAGGTGCAGGGTCTCAAGGCTTTGGGCCGTCCTCGACTGCTTTCCCAGGCCACAAGTAGGGAGCTGGATGGGATGTTGGGCTGTTGGGATTAGAACCGGCGCCCATATGGGATCCCAGTGCATGCAAGGTGAGGACTTTAGCCACTAAGCTACTGTGCTGGGCCCAGTATTAGGATTTAACATGCAAATTTGGAGCTGCACGCAAGTCAGTCTGCACTAAGTGTTTACCCAGTAGGCTGGCATTGTGGTACAGTGAGTTAAACCACTGCCTATGATACTGGCATCTCATACTGGAACAGCACTTTGAATCCCAGCTGCTTCACTCTTCCATCGAGCCTCTGCTAATGTGCCTGGGGCAGTGGTGGGTGACACAGTCACTGGGCCCCTGCCACCCATTTGGGGAACCCCAAGGGAACTTCAGGCTCCTAGCTCTGGCTTGGCCCAGCTCCAGCCAGGGTAGCTATGTGGGGAATAAGCCAGTTCTTGAAGGATTTCTTTCCTCTCTCTCTGCCTGTCTTGGTGCCTTTTAAATAAGTAAATAAATCTTAATAAATAAAGATGTAGCCAATGGAATGAGTGAAACAGTAATGTGTATGCTTTGTCTTTCTCTGCTCACAAGGCTTTGTCTTCCGTGCCATGTAGGGTTTCGCTTATTAGTTTGTCTTCTGTGCTCCTGAGGTTTCAGATGCACATCTCCACAGTGCTGCCTCCCTAAGATTCTCCACCGATGATTCAGTGTCCAGTTAGTTCCCTCCCCTGTGCAAGGCCGTGTCCTTGCATCCCTGCACGGAGGTTTCAGCGTGTGCCTTACAGTTGCCTTCACTGGCCCCACGTGTCCCTCAGAAGGCAGCACCTCTGCCCCCTTCTCCATGCTGGCCTGACCTCTCTGTGGAAGGATGGCAGGGGAGACTGCTCTTGGCCCTTTGGGCTGCTGGGACCTCACGCCAGGCCCGCTGTTTGTGTCACCTTCCCCACATCCTTCCTGTCTGCCACTGTCTCATGCACTTGCCCTCTGACCTGCCTTCCACCTGCTCACCACTCTCAACCTTGAGGTTTACCCTGTGCACACAGGGACCCACGTGACATTACCACCTTACAGTTCTGGCCTTCCCCACCACAGAAGTTCTCCCCCCACATGTAGACTGAACCCCAGGGTCATGGCCTTACTTGTACCCACATCTACCCCAGTAGAGAAGGTGCAGGCTAGACAGGCTTGCCTAGCTTGAAATTTTTATTTTTTATTTACTTGAAAGGTGGAAAAACCGAGAGAAATCATCTGGAGGGTGGTTTACTCTCCAAATGAGCTGGACAGTCAGGTCTAGCTCAGGCTGCAGTCAGGAACCTGGCGCTGCTGCATCCGGGTTCCGAGTGCATGATAATGACTCTAGTACTTGGGCCATCACTTGCTGCCTCCAGGGTATGCAAAGCAGGAAGCTAGACTGCAAGCAGACCGAAGACTGGACATTCTCAACCACTGCACCAAATACCTGTCCCAAAGAGTTTGCATTTTTGCAGAAACCCTTATTGATGGCATGACACATGGGGGAGCCATGACAGCTAGTTCTAGCCAGGAGCCAATATTCAAAGCTTGCTCCTCTCGGATGAATGTCTCATTTCCCAGACGTCTATCATGCCAGTGCACGTTTGATATCTTTATTTTTTTTAAAGATTTATTTTTATTATTTTTTTATTGGAAAGGCAGATATACAGAGAGGAGAGACAGAGAGGAAGATCTTCTGTCCGACGATTCACTCTCCAAGTGAGCGTAACGGCCGATGCTATGCTGATCCGAAGCCAGGAGCCTCTTCCAGGTCTCCCACATGGGTGCAGGGTCCCAAAGCCTTGGGCCGTCCTCTGCTGCTTTCCCGGGCGACAGGCAGGGAGCTGGATGGGAAGTGGGGCTGCCGGGATTAGAACCGGCGCCCATATGGGATCCCGGGCGTGCAAGGCGAGGACCTTAACCACTGCGCCACTGTGCCGGGCCCCGTTTGATATCTTTATGCAGTTAAATGCATTAAAATTCTCCAAACCATTGTATAGGCAAAAGCAAATGATTCATAGGTAAATACTGCATGCCAACGCAGTGCGATGCTCACACAGTCTTGTCCTTTTTCCTTTGCCTGGAGGGAAGCCAAAGCCATTTCAGTACATCCGTCCTTAGATTGGACTAGAACCCGGAGGCCCCATTTCGGATTGTTCATCTCTTCATTCTGCTGCTAGTTTCCGTACAATATATTGCTCTGCTTTTTCTTTCTGGAACAGAATATAAGTGTTCCAAGGGAGCTGGACGTTTTGACGGTTTGTGCATTGTTATATTCCCCACGCCCAAACCATGTTGTTGTTTGAAATGTTTTGTTTGTTTGAATTGAGATCGGCAGGGTGCCTGGGCTTCGTGTGCATTCCATCTTCTCACTTCCGTTTTTGCTCCTGCGGGTCAGGGAAGACGGTGGTAGTTGAGTTCCTGTTATCCTGTGGGACACTTACATTGAATTCCCAGTCTAGCCCAGTCAATCCCTAGCTGTTTCAGATTCACTCTTTCTCTCCCTCTGAAATACATGCATTTAAAATAAGAGAATCACTGGATAAACCAAAGGCATTTAGTTAAGTCCTTAATGAGCCTACAGTCAGGGCCACCACTGTTGCAGCCTCTGCCTGCAGCACCACATCCCATATGGGTACCAGTTCGAGTCCTATTGCTTTACTTCCAGCCCAACTCTCTGTTGATGTCCCTGGAAAGCAGCCGAAGATGCCCCAGGCCCCTGGGTCCCTGCTCTCAAGTGTGAGATATGGAGGAAACTCTGGGCTTCTGGTTTGAGACATTGGGCCGTTGGAGCCACTTGAGGAGTGAACCAACGGATAGAGGATCTTTCTCCCCCTCTTCTCTGTAACTCCGTCAAAATAAACAAACAAACAAACAATCCACGCGCCCTCAAACTAACTTTGGGACTAAGACTTACTGTTAAGAAGTAGTCATATATTAAATGTTTTAAAGCCTACATCCTATCTTGGAATCTCTTTGATTGCCAGCTATCTCCCAGTCATTGACTTAATAGAATTCTGGCTCATGCTTCCTACTGGCCATGCTGCACTAGCCAGCAGATGTCCGTTGGCCATTCATCACCGCCTTCTCTTGAACAAGCTTCCAGCTGTTGCTGCTGTCTCTTGGTTTCGAATGAACCTCACAAATTTAAGCATGTTCAAATCAAATTCATCACTTGATTCTTCATTGGAAAAAAAAAAATCTTTGAGGTTAACACACTTGAAACATCCAGCCCTTTAGTCTAAGCTAGTTGACCAAAAGTTGTCCCACTGGAAAATAGTTCCAGCTTTCGCTCATTCTTGTTTCTAAGCTATTTCCAACAGAACTGCCACTTCTGGACTTTCCCCAGGCATTTCCTCCAGTCTGTGCCAAGTCGCTCTCTGACACGGCATTCATCGACACCCCCCCCAGCCCTGGAGGCGACACCTGCTAATCCATAGCCTAACATTTGCTGGGCGTTGTTCTAGATAGAGGATGCAGAAGCAGACAAAATGGTTTGGGGAGCAAGATGACGCAGCTGTCTGGAAAGATAATTAACAAAACAGTATTTTCTGTTTTAAAGATTTGTTTGTTTGAAAGGCAGGATGACATTGGAAGAGGAAAAAGAGAGAGATCTTGCCTTGCTGACTCATTTCCCAACTGGCACAACAGCCTTGGTTAGACCGGGCTGAAGCCAGGAATCTGAACTCTGTCAGCTGGTAATACACACTAAAGTAAAAAGAGGAGGAGTTGGAGGCCAGTGTTGCGGAAAGTTAAGCTTCTACCTGTTATACTGGCATCCCATATGGGGGGATGGCGCAAGTCTCGGCTGCTCCACTCTGATCCAGCTCCCTGCTTGTGGTCTGGGAAAGCAGTCGAGGACGGCCCAAAGACTTGGGACCCTGCACCCAGGTGGCAGACCCAGAAGAAGCTCCTGGCTTCGGATTGGCTCAGCTCCAGCCGTTGCAGCTGCTTGGGGAGTGAACCAGTGGATGGAACATCTTTCTATCTGTTATCTCCTCTATATACAATCTGACTTTCCAATAAAAATAAATCTTAAAATTTGTTTTTAATCTATTGATTTCAAGGGCAGAGTCACAGACAGAAATCTTCACCTGCTGATTCTCCCCCCATGATCACATCCACTGAGTCTAGAGCTCCTTCCGTGAGCAACTGATTTATGACAGCTCCTTGTTATTGCTTTGCATCATTTAAGTCTCACTTTATTATACGGTACCTGCTATCCTCGTGGAGTTTCATTTCCTTGTGGGTTGAGATGGCTGGTGTCTCATTGGAACCTCATAACACTTGGCACAGGCGGAAGCCCTGCCAGTGCAAGTCTGGCCCAGTTCTGAGCCCAAGCCTGCCTTCACCGTGTCACTTGCTCTGTCCTCCGCAGGCCACTACGTACACGGCATCTGCATCTACGGAAATGGAGACCTGAAGTGGCTGATGAATTCGCCAAGCCTGTTTGCCAACAAGTTTGAACTCAACACATACCCTCTCACCGTGGAATGCCTGGAACTGAGGCTTCGCGAAAGAACCCTCAATCAGAGCGAAACCGCAGTACAGCCCAGCTGGTACTTCTGACCCACAACAGCCCGGCATGGAAGGGAAGTTGCAGATGAAGCTTTTGAGCCTAGATTGTGTGGGAGGCTTCAGGGCCTGGCTCGGTAACTGGACTTGAACTGTACGCTGAGAAGCTCTGAAATACACTGCACGATGGCCGAGTTGAGTTATCCTGGCACCTTAGCCAGGCTGACAATTTTCTTGATAACTCTACGAGAGGAGGCTGTTGTTTTGACCGGGGTTAAATTTAAATGCTGTCAGATCTTTGCACCCGGTCGTCATATAAACATGTTCTAATGCAAACGAAGAGTAGATAATAGTATTTAGGAAAATAAGAATTTGAGTTCTTTGAAGGAAAAAAACAAAAGGAAGTCTCTTATCACACATTGTCAGCTCTCAACTAGGCCTGCTGAAAGAGGACCCAGGCACTGGGAGTGGCAGCTGTGCTTTCTCCTCTCCCTGCTCAACCGCAGACGGGTGTCCAGACAGCTCTTCCGGGCAACTCGTCCATCTTGTTAAAGCTGAAGCTCCTGGAATTGAAAAATCGGCCCGAGTTCCAACAGTGGCGTTTCCGATTGCCCGTGTCCGGAGTTCTGCATGTGGTGAAAAGTCGGAACACGAGCCCATCCACGCGTTAGACCCCACTGTCTGCTGCCCCAGCAGAAGGACCCCAGGGAAATAGCACGTCCCCCTGCCTTTGCCGCACTGTGCCCATTCTCCTCTGTGTCAACCTCAAAGTCCTTGCAAAAAGTGAAGGCATCTGTGGCAGAGGTGTCGTTGCACAAATCCATTGTGGCGGCCGGAGCCCCTCACACTGAATCACTCCCAGCAGCTAGAATTCCCTACCCCCTCTCCCTAGCCCCGGTGCGACGTGACTTGTAAAACTGAGTTCTCTCCTACAAGGCTGAGAGCCACACGGCAGTGTCTCCCAAGGGACTTTACTGACCCCAGGAGTGCCTTCATTTCTAAGCAACTGTCTGTCGGCTATCTCCCCGCCCGCTACCAGCTGTCTATCCAGCCACTCTTCCACCCACCCGTCATGCACTCCTACACCCATGCTGAGACAGGTAGCAAAACAGAACTTCCATTTGGCAATGACGTTAAAATTGGAGAGCCTGGCAGGGAACGTGTTGCAGAATCATTGCGTTCGGCACAATCAGGAAGTTATATTGTGATTATTTAGACACTGTATATGGGGATTTCAGGCCCGGTAGCTCAGTAGTTACCAAGTGGGATCAAAGGGGAGGGGGCAGAGGGAAGTCCCGTGGGCGCTCCTGTCTGCTCCTTTCCTGGGCACCCCACCACACTCCCGAGGGCTCGCGCACGTCATCACCCTCGCTCTGCAGGTGAAGCTGCTGAGGCCAAGAGGGGCACGACCATGTGGGCAAATGAGATCTCCACAGCGGGGACCCGGGACTCTCCCTGCTCCTCTCCGTTCATTTCCCGAGATGGACTGCAGAGAGGCGGGGAGTCAAGCCGTATTTAGTGTCCCTAACGGGGCAGGTGTGAGGAGTGGGCTCAGTGTTATTGAGAAGTCCACGTCCGGGAAATCTGAAGTCTCCTGCAGTATTCCTCGCATCCGCTGGGTTGTGTAATATTTATTTATTCTCATGAAAACCGACGACTGTAACTGATGAGATCCTAAATTAATACATTTATTTTTTTTCTTGTGATTGTATCTGTTGAATGTTTTAATCCTATTTAAAAGGGAATGGCTTTGAAGTGAATCCTTTTCTCCAGCTACTGAAAAAGCAACAACAACAACAACAAACAAACCCATGGGATCGTATTGGGCAGTGAGGGGTTGACCCGTATGGAACACAGCCAAGGTCAATACTGAAGTCTGCACTCTGTGTCTTTCGAACATACAATGTAAGTGATAGCACATAAGAAAAAAACACATTACACTGGATTTTCCCACTAGCATGAGGGATTTTTCTAGAATTGATGTTTACATGTCCGTTGCTGGTCATCTCACCCACGTCGTCAAGGCTTTAGTGTTGAAAGAACACAGCATTAGGCTCACAGATTTCTTCCAGCTCACGGGGATGCCCTGTAACTACTGTATCTTTGTTTTTAATTATGTTCTGTGTGGTTTTCTTGGAAATAAATTATTTTCCATCTTTGCGGCCGTTGTGTTTTGCTACTGGATGGTTAAAAGTCCACTCAAGACCTTGTTTTCATCTTTTTGAAAAAGATTTATTTGTTTATTATTGGAGAGGGAGATTTACAGAGAGATGATAAGACAGATCTTCCATCTGCTGGTTCACTCCCCAAGTGGCCGCAATGACTGGAGCTGAGCAGAAATGAAGCCCGGACCCAGGAGCCTCCTCTGGCCTCCCAGGTGAGTACAGGGACCCAAGGCTGTGGGCTGTCCTCTGCTGCTTTCCCAGGTCATAAACAGGGAGCTGGAAGGGAAGCAACCAGGACTCAGACGGGTACCCATTGGGATCCTGGTGCTTGGAGGTGGAGGATTAAACAGTTGAGCCAGCAACACACTGGGCCCAGAAGTTTTACAAGGCAGTTCTACCATTAAAAAGAAGAAGAAATACATTCATACATGCATCACTGAAAAATAATTTTCCTTTGTCAGATGTTTGGAGAATAATTGAGAATGACAAGAAAGAGGATGAAAATAAATTAGAAACAGCTGCTTCAAAAGTTGAGGTAGGGGTCCAGCACGGTAGCTTAGTGCTTAAAGTACTCACCTTGCACACACCGGGATCCCATATAGGCGTTGGTTCGTATCCTGGCAGCCCTGCTTCCCATCCAGCTCCCCACTTGTGGCCTGGGAAAGCAGTCCAGGATGACCCCAAAGCCTTGGGTTCCTGCACCCATGTGGGAGACCCAGAAGCTCCTAGCTCCTGGCTTTGGATCAGCTCAGCATCAGCCATTGCGGCAACTTGAGGCGTGAATCAGTGAACAGAAGATCTTCCAGAGACTCAGGTCTCTGCCGTCCATGTGAAAGACACAGGTGGAGTTCCAGATTCCCGGCTCTGGTCAGTCTCCATCCTGGCTTGTTGCTGTTGTTTGCGGAAGGATTCGGCATATGGAATATCCGTATCCCTTTCTTTATCACTGTGCCAAATGTCTGTGTATAAAAGTGGAAATAATACAGGAAGAGTGAACTTTGGTCTCTAGAGGTTATCACTTACAAGGGGTATCGCGTGTGTGTGTGTGTGTACGCGCGCGCGTGTGTGTGTGTGTGTGTGTGTGTGGTGTATTCCACCATCAGCCCCATCTCATCAACGGCCCTCATTTCTTTCCTGCACGAGGTTGAGATGCTCCAGGTGACAACAGCCGCTACCACATCCCTCTCCCACCATCACTGGTGTTTTAGCAATTCCCTGACCTCCACCTGCCCCCACTGAGGGCCAGCTCCTTTCCCCGCCAGGCAATGCACGCTCAGGGTCAAAAACCTCATCTTCTCGCATTCACAGATTTCAGGTTGGGTTCCCTGGAAGCAGAAGCTGATCTAGAAGAATCGATTTGTGTGGCAGGAAGAGGAATCAGCAGTGATACATTCCTACTGAGCAAACATCAAATTTCATGCAAATTCCGTTACTTCGTCCCTGACGTCCTCCAGGATTTCATCAGGGACGTGCTGTTAGATTTAGTCATTGTCTCCAGGAGGCTGTGACTTCCTCTGCAGCCTGCTTTGTTTTTGATGCCCTCGACAGTTGGGAGGCATAACTAGTTTTAGAAAATGACTCCAAATGGATTTTTTTTTTTTTTTGTCTGATGCTCAGGGACTCTGCCTCTATTCAATCATCTTTTTTTTGAGATTTTTATATTTATTTTCATTGGAAGGGCAGATTTACAGAGAGAAGGGGAGACAGAAAAATCTTCCATCTGTTGATTCACTCCCCAAATGACCACAATGGTCAGAGCTGAACTGATCTGAAGGAGCTAGTTCAGGAGCCAGGAGCCTCTTCCAGTCTCCCACATATGTGCAGGATGCCAAGGCTGTGGGCCATCTGCTACTGCTTTCCCAGGCCATAGGCTGGGAGCTGGAAGGGAAGCGGAGTAGCTGGGAGACCAAACGGCTCCCAGATGGGATGCTGGTGCTTGCAGGTAGAGAATTCATTAGCTGTTGAGTCATCGAGCCAGCCCCGCAATCATCTACTTTTATCTGCATAAGTTTGTATGTATTTTCTTTTTTCACATTTTAAAAAATATTTATTTCGTGTTATTGGAAAGTCAGATAGACCAAGAGGAACATCCATTCGCTGATTCACTCCACAAGCAGCTGCAACAGCCAGAGCCGCACTGATCTGAAGCCAGGAGCCAGTAGCTTCTTCCGGGTCTCCCATGCAAGTGCAGGATCCCGAGGCTTTGGGTTATTCTTGACTTCTCTCCTAGGCCACAAGCAGGAAGCGGAATGGAAAATGGGGCCACAAGGATTAGAAAACTGGCACCCACAGGAGATCCCCACGCATACAAAGGGAGGACCTCAGCCACTAGGCTACCACTAGGCTCAGGTTTGTATACATTTTCTATTTTAGGTTAGAATCTAATGCAGATATAATTTTATTTTTTTTTGTATTTGGTTACTGATTCCGATATTGCCTGAGCTTTGGCCCCTGGTTGCTCAGTTGGCTCCTGGTGCCTCTGACATGCCCTGTCAGTGTGAGGTCTCTTCCTGGGCAGGATGCCTTCCTGGCATCACAGGATGTGCGGCCCGAGGCGCTCTGGGTGCTCTCTCATCGGGTTTGAGACTAGAAAGACAAGTGCAGCAGCCACAGTCTATGGTGAGCAGAGGCCTACACCGTTGGGAGGAGGGCTTGGATCATTTCACCAGTGAGCCGTGCAGACGGGCAGTGGTGCCCACAGGCAACAGGTGGCACCTGCAATGGGAACTGAGGAAGGAGAACGCAAGCTACTCGTCCTTCGGGGTTTGTTCCAAGTAGAGGCGCTGGTTGCTAAACTAACAGGAGGGAATGGAGGTGCACCATGCAGACAGGGGCACAGAGCAGGTCTGGCAGACCTGAACACCTAAGCCTTGACCTGAACACTCGTAGCCTAGGACAGCACCTCAACATAAGATCACATCGTTTGGGGGTGAGCCTGAGGAAGGTGGGGTTACGGGACCGAAAGCCTTTGCCCCATCCCGACACACTGCTTTTTCTGAGCTCCCTGCAGGGTCAACTGGTTGTGGCTGCATCACAACCTGACTTCCCTGCCCAGTCCTGAGTCCCTCACTTTCCCCCAAGCCCACAGTGCTCCCCAAATACTCATCTCCATGTGAGAGCGTCACCTCTGAAGAGCCTTACCTGTAACCTGGTCCCTACCCGGACACGGTGCAAAGCTTCACTTACATTTTCTTTACTCTTCCTACCTGCTCCTGTTTAATTGTGAAATGAATGTTGACGTCATCTCTCTCTCTCTCTCTCTCTCTCATTGGAAAGGCAGATTTACAGAGAGGAGGAGAGACAGATCTTCCATCCACTGGTTCACTCCCTAAGTGGTTGCAATGACCAGAAGTCAGGAGCCTGGAGTTTCTTTCAAGTCTCCCATGTGGGAGCAGGGTCCCAAAGCTTTGAGCTGTCCTTGACTGCTTTTCCAGGCCACAGTCAGGGAGTTGGATGGGAAGTGGAGCAGCCAGGACACGAACCAGTGCACATATGGGATCCCAGCACTTGAAGGGGTCGGCTCAGCTCTTGCAGCCACTTGGGGAGTGAACCAGTGGATGAAGTTGGTTCTCTGTAGGAGGACACTGTGAGCCTGGAAGGTCAGCGAGCACAGGTTTGCAGTTCATTGGACAGTATTTGCATGACAACAACCAAATGGCTACCTTTGGTATAAACAGCATGTAAATGAGAACACCTAGGGTAATAAACAAAACAAAAGGAATTCCAATCAAGAGAGGGAAACAGTACGGACTCTCAGTGTATAAGGTCTGATGCCCCTAATAAACTTTGGCTTTGACCATCAGTCAGGGTCCACACGTGTCATTATCGGCTCCGTGCACCAAGTCCATCGCTGCAGGACAGCGACAGTTCTCTTTGTATCTGTTTCTGTAAATCTGCCTTTCCAATAAAATAAAAAAAAATTTAATGAGAAAAACACCAACGGACACTCTCCTGGGAGACTGGATAGGGGATGCGGACTGTGCTTTTGTCATGAGGCCTGCCTCTGAGGGTAGCGGGTACCCGAGGGACTGTCGGCCATACTTGCTGCAGCGGGGCCTGTTGGAGTCACAACATCTGACCTTCATCAGAGGAGGGATCCTAGCAGCTGCTTCTGACAGGTGGGCAGAACTATCCAGAAGGAAAGGACACCTGAGAGAGGACAGCATCATCCAGAAGCTGACCAACGGCCACATCAATGTCAGCCTGCAGGTGCAAACCTCAGGCGTAATGTGGCCTGCGGGGTGCTGAGGGTGTTAGGACCCAGAGTGGAAAACCTGGCTGTGAAGTTAAGCAGCATGAGTTCTTTCAAGTTCAGATCAATAGCTGTAAGCTAGGCAAAAACCTACATTCTAGAGGATTTTTTTAAAAAATAAAATTTATCTTAAAAGAATTTGCGACTTAGGGAAAAGTTACAAAATCAGTACAGGGAGTTCTTGTTCATCTCCTTATGGTAACATCTTCCATAAGTGAGGTTCAAAACCAGTTCTGTTCTGTTCTTCGTTGTGCACTGGCTGTGTGGGAAGGCCAGCTGACACTGCCTTTGCCCAGGGTGGGCCAGATGGGTGAGCCGAGTCCCTGTGACGAGCAGGGTCATCATGGTAGACTCCGCGACAGTGAGGGACTGAGGACAGCGGCTCTGCAGCGCAGCCATCTGAGTGCTTGTATCCAGCCACAGGAGCCTGATCGCCAAGGAGCTGATGTTAGCAGGTGGGGCCTTGAAGAAGCGATCAGGGATTCAGAGCACGCCGCTTCCATGGCGTGAAAACACAGCAAGAAGTTGTCAGCATTGAACCAGACACCAACTGCACCAGCAGCTTCCCAGCCTCCGGAACTATGCTATGTTTTTGCTGTCGGTATGTAACTCGGTTTAAAGTATTTTTGTTGTTACCGTAATCCTAAAGGACTGACGCGTGGAAAGGAAAATGAGAACTCTGTTCCAAACTGTGGAACCAAGGTGGAAAGGAGAGGCTAAGTAGGGAGAGCAGGAGCA